CTTCCTGCATCCTCAAATAATAAGAATAATTTCTTTCCTTTTCCTTTCTCCTTAAAACACACATCTATAGTTCTAGAAGGCATCATAGAGAAACATGAGTATGATTTTTCAGTATTGCTTTGACTTATTTTTTGATACTCTTACTTATTTCTGTACATGCAACAGTGTCCAATTTCTGCCTGACAATTAGCTTATATAGTTTAACTATGCATAAGATGTGGTTTTAGCCTGCTATGTGGACTCAGAAATACAGAATTCCTCTGCAGTTGACAAGTTTTTAGCAACTATAGTCCACTAGATGGAGCAAGTTAGCCTGTCAGTATTAAAATAAGATTTACTATTTTCAGAACAAGATTTCAGAAGTTTTCACTTACTTCAATAAGAATAAGCTTTTTATCATTTTCTGAGGACTCCCCAAGCATCTGAAGTTTGTTATACTTATTTGCTCTTAAAATAAAATCTTGAAAGAGAGCTGCTTGGGCCTGACTTGGATACGTATGAAAATTTGAGTCTGAAAAAGAAAACTAATTAAAAATATGTATCCTATTTTATGTCAAATACTATATAAAAAAAACATAAGAAATAATATCCACCCTTGCAGTTTTCTGACAATAGCCAATAAACACCAGCAGCCAAATCCTTTGGCAAATACAAGTACATCATTATTTTTAAAGGGTAGACTACAACTGGGGATGAAATCAAAGATACACTGATCTATTTATCTTTATTTAACATTCAAATGATTCCCATGTTATTACACAAACTCTCCAGCCTGAGAATCGCATATTGTTTTGGAGCAACTACTTTTAAAAACTTTAATCCTTCTGTCAGACAAAAGCAAAAATAAAAGATCCTTATCAAATGCTATTTAGAAATCCTTACATAGTTTTGGATTCATACATAACAGAGCCAAAAAATACAGAATGCAAATCCCACAAAAGTAACTTAAAAAAAAAAACACAACAACAACAAAAACACCTTACTGTGGCCAAATATACTTTTTATGTCTTCTTTTGTAAAGTCTAAAGTTATTGGATTGGTCCATTCTTGCACCTGAACACCAAGATCTTTCACTAATATCTGTATAGTTGCAGTCTTTCCACAGCCAGCTGGACCTGTTAACAGCAAAATAGAGCCACCCTGTAACAAAAAAAAAAAAAAAAACACGCAAATGAAAAAACCCCAAGTCAGATAATTAAAGATTACAAGTTGAATGAAGACAAATATTTAATTTCTTTTGTGAAGAAATTTCTTTTCAAGAGTGATTTATTTTCCCAATTAAAAAAAAAAATAATTTGTGTTAACTATTCACCTGTTGAGTATTCTGAGAGAAAAGGCTAGCTCAGAATGCTGAAAGCCTTTTTTTTTTTTAATGTATGCATTTAATTAATTCCTCACTCTTCAGACTATCAATATAATATGTATTGAAATCAAAATTCCAGTCTAAAAACCACAATTTGATACTGTTAAACGATGCACTTGCAGAAGAATGCCTCTTACCATTCAGGCTGTTAAAAGAGTCCTATTACATCAGGTTAGTGTTACTGGAACTTTGCCAAGCTACTTAGTCCATGGGAGATAAAATTCAGTTAATAAGCACACATTGAACAGGTATGAATTGGCTGGATGCTACACAGTCAATTCAGACAATACTGCTGAACAAAGAACAGAATCTAGCTCTGCTCCTCATAGTACTATAAACTCTAAAGAAATGTAAAAAGCTCTAATCTATGTTCTTAAGAGATTTCTTATGCTTCAATACATATAATTACTATCAGGTAAAGGTTTTTCTGAAAGGAGAAAAATTAAATCCAGCTTGTTATATATTGTTTTATACCTCTATCGGCTAATTCTAGCAAGATTACCTGCTTTGGTTTCCTCTGAAATATATGCATTTTTAGCCAGGCTTCAACTTCCTCAATTTTCTTCTTATGCACAGCAAGGTCATTCTAAAACCAGATGAAAATACATGAAATACATATATACATACCTCTTGGTTTCTAAGACTGTAATGTTACAATTCAAAAACAGAACATAAACTATTCAGGAGTAAATGCAACAATTAAGCATAATTATTACAGCCTAATAAATTGTTGTTGTGGAAAAAAAAGCTAGTTTTCCACAGCCTGCAGGAGAGAAGTAACGAGCAATTTATCATTCCTAAAGTAGCAACAATACAACTCTGATTTTTTATGCATGCACTATTGTCACGGAACGAGTGGTGGTGAGGGGGTGAGTGACACAATGCACTTCACTCGTGGGAAAGAAATAGGAATAGGTTTTATTGGTAATGACAATGGTTTCATGAGATTCTGTGGCAAGGTCACTTATTAGTTACTGCATGGAGGTTCAAGATATACACAGAATTATCAAGGACACCCTCCC